ATTTAGACATTGCTGTACAATTTTGTGGGTGAAAATTAATATAAAAGCATATAAAACACAATTCGCACGCCATAAATATTTTATAAAAGAATAATTAGTTTTACACAAATGGACTATTTCTCGTTTCAAAATCGATTTCGCAATTCTTGCCAACTCCTTGTTAGTATTACCATCAATATATCTAAAGCTTGTCAAAATTGGACAGAGGGTTTCCCCGATAGATCTGGTTATCGTTCGTATTTCAGCAAAAACGAACGGATGCACGAGCGTAAGGTTCTTGTTAATATCTTAAGCGAAACGTAGTCTGTCGTTCTTACTCCCCGCCCCTTGCTCAGGAAACCGAATTAGAGGGGGTGGAAATAGTCGCGGCGAAATTAAGATTAAGCAGAAGAGCGGAGGGAGAATAAACTGGCGCAGGAATTTGCTAGCGGCCCTTATGGCCTCCCTAAGGACAGCCAAGCAACCAAGTAACTGGTTGCAGAAACGGTACGGTACGTTACGGAGACAGCGAAATGGCTCTGCCCGGCCGCACGATAAGTGCTCGTGGAGTCGAGCGAGTGAAAACACATAAGGACTACGGCGAGGAGAGGGTAACAACGGCCGGCTCGCCGAGACATTCCTCGTGTTCCCGAACCGTTCTCCTTGCCACGACCCGCCGTATCTCTCCCGCTGGCGAACCGATAGCTCAATTAGTCACGAGAACGAACTCGCTTTTCCGGCTATCTCTTTTCCCCACCTTCGGCGCGGTCGGTGGTGTCGGCCGGTCGCGAGAGAAATGGCCGGGGCGAGTCCTTAGGTTTAGGAAGGAAGGGCGGAAGTCGATAAGAGGCAAAGTGGAATCGGGGAAGCGGCGTTGTGGAAGCGCGTAAGCGAAAGATGGAAGAGGAAGGATCGCCGTTGGGGAAGCGGAGCGACGAGCGAGGAAAAAGAACGGAACGAATGAGGGACGGGATGTTGGAGAACGCGCACGCGAACGGGAGAGGTTTTACCGCGAAAGTTTCTCGAGGGAACGAACGGAACGTCCGCTCCACGAGCGAGCAAATCGACCCATCGATCGATAGATCCGGAACCGGCGCGGCGGCTTCACCTTCTTTTTTTATCTCTCTCTCTCTCTCTTCTCTGCTAAGTCCCGCTCGGGGGACTGTGCTTCTCGGTGGAAGCCTAAACTTGCAGCCCGAGAGAAGAACACGGTGTAGTGGATCTAGTAGTACTGTGAGTGAATCACGAGTTAACGAGTGAATCGAGTTAGAGGTTTGAGATGTGGAAGTTGCTCGGAAGGTCTTATTGGAAAATGAGAATACGACGCGCGTTGTTGAGTGCCGGAAGGAAAGTTTCCGAGGAAGATTAATTTAATTAGCTGCCAATTATATGTGTACAATTGAAAGAGTTGTTAATACGCGATACGACATTCAAATCGGCATTTTCTGTCTCGCGAGAGCTTCTCAGCTTCCTCGAACCGGCCGCCCCGTGTTCGTCGGGAATTCATAGATTTCGGTAACGCTACGTGGACGCGCGCGCATTGACAAACACTAAATCCAGATAGAAGTACGCGAAGTAGATAACGTAAAAAGCTTTCAGCAGTTTTATGACACCTTCGCTAGAGTGTCGCGCGATTCGCGATCGGGAGAGCCACGTCGATGCGCGCGCGCGGCATGACTTCGTTTCGCGTCAATAACGGGTAACCGAGGTATTTTCGGAATTCCCGACGATTTCCATGGTCAGAATATTTCGAACGCACTAACGGAGAGAAAAAGAGGGAGAGGAATCGAGAGAGAAAGAGAGAGAGAGAGAGCCCGGTAACCGTATCACCGCGGGTTCTTTTATTCACGATGAAACGATTTTTGTCAGACGCGCGACAGTGGAGGAACCGCGGTGAGTCCGTTTATTTCATGCGTCACAATACGAGCGGGTGTGCGCGCGTGCATAGCCCGAAAAAAAGCCCCGATTAATCCGATGCAAGAAGTAAGCGGTGCGTGGAGAACCCCGCGTGAGCGGAGCGTGCTCCGGCGTGTTTGTTCAGCTTGGATTTTTATCCGGCCAATAGCGGTGCCTTCACCGAATAACGCGCGGCCATCGTTTGTGCGCGCCGTTCCGTCAGCACGTGAAATTCAACCGCGCCCGCAATTGCGAATTTCACCCGGGCTAACCCATACACACCTTGCTTACATACGCGCTCCGAATATTACGTTTTTTATATCGCGCGGGGTACGACCGCGGGCTATTTTTTAGCTCTGGGAACTGTATAGGGTGACTCGGTGTTCGGCGAGAACGCGTACCGCGACAACGGGATTTTGCGGTCAATCGTAGGGTCTTTTTTTTTGCCGAGAGCGAAAACTACGAAGACGTTAGTTAATTCGCTCGTGAAGTTTCCAACGGCGGCAGATAAGAGGGACTGGTCGCGCATCGTCCTCCGTAAACTAAACACGCGAGAAAATGCCAATGCGGGTCCGAGGCAAGATGTGGGTAGCCCTTACTCGTAATTTTTAACATGCGAATTCATATATCGTTTCTTTCCACCTTTGTCCTGCGAGCCGGTTTCTTTACGGACATAACGCAGCTTTCTTACGGATGGAGTTATTGAGTGCGTTCCGGCAAGACACTGCTACCGTAGCGCTACAGCTGTTTTGCTACAACTGTAGCGGCGCCATACTTACATTAGCGTGCATAACCTCAAAATTGTATTTTAATTATAAGAGTCGCGTTCACCAATGAATTGAAACGAATAGAATGGCAAATATTGAAGATTGGCTCATGAATGACATACTGTTTGATTATTCATCAGATGAAAGTAATAAAGAGAAAGAGGTTCCGCTACAGCTGTAGCGGAAAGTTTTGCCGAAACGCACTCGTGTAGCGCTACCGTAGCGCTGTAGTAGCAGTGTCTTGCCGGAACGCACTCATTATCGTCAGCAAATTCACAAAATCAAATCGATAAACAATTTGTTATACTTTAAATACTAAATTTAGCATTCAACATCCCCTGCTCGTACTGTAAATTATTCTTATTGCCAAAAATATTACCTCAGCCTGGTTACGAACCTGGGACCTCGCTCAATCCGTGACGGGCGTCTTGGCCAACTCGTCAACTTAGCTAAGAACATCCTCCATAAACGTCTATTTGCAATCACGAATGAAAATTTCAGCGGGAGTATCAAATATTAAGTGAGAAAATATCTCTCTCGATCCAGCTGGCCAAACCAACTTTTGATTCCTCTGTTTGGAAAACAGAAACGAGGCGAAAGGCCTGTGGACAGTTTAGATAGAAGCCGTGATACAAATAAACTACCACCCGCAGCTGCCCCAGCAAGCCCGACCTCTCTGAGCCTTTTATCTTTTAATTACGCGGATTTCGCCCACTCGCTTAAATTCTCTGCCCGCTCTTCCGACTTGAACCCAATTTTCTCAACGCGCGATACAATATGGACAGCAATTTATCGTCCGCTAAAACAGCGTCGAACCTTTTGCGTGATGCAACAATCTTCTATTACTGAAAAAAAATTATTAGGGGAAATATATCTCGTAAGAGCTGGAGAGGGAACTATACAGTAATAAAATCTGGAATCGTAGATCCAAATAAATTTTAAGAGAAACGCTAAACCGACACTCACGGTTGCGCCAACGCATTACTTCCACGAAGGAAATAGCATCTTGAGGGGAGAATCCGAGAGACGAGGATAAATAAGAGGAACGTGCAAATCTCTGGAGAGCCGAAACGTTCTGCGCGCCTTCGCGATCGATATATCCGAAAGGCTTTCGGACCGTGGGAAACACAGTGATTCCCAGTCCTCGAGAGGAGCCCTTGCAGCAGCAGCCCGTCTGGATACCGTGATCGTTACGGCGCATCTGAATGCGGACTCTCTCGATACGGGCGGTGTGGGAGGAGAGAAAAGGAGTGTCCGGCTCCCTTCCAGTCCGCCGTGTGTATTCGCCCGGCAAGCGAGCTCCCAGTGCGAATTGAAAGTGCTGAAAGTCCCGTCGAGGCGAATTGCCAATTGCTTCGTCGCTCCCAGCCAGAGGCTTACTGCGGCACGGAATTGGAAATACCGTCTGCCGCGAGACAGGGCTATAGGATTCACTCTCTAGCGTGTATATACATACGTACATATGCAGCTTGCTATATACAGAGACGGCCGGGATTTGCTTCGGGGGATAGAAGGGCGGTGGGTACGCGTTAACCTGTCAAAAGTTTAATCCATCTCGCGAGATCTCCGCGGATCTCCATCGGACGTGATTCCGAGATCGCGCGGATCGTTCGTAGGGAAAACACGAGTTGCGCTGGTCAAGAGATCGCGGAGAGTGCCTTAGACCAGTGCTCGGAGTT